CCTTACCCACCCCTCCAATACCTTTGTGCTGAGGCATTCACTCACACATCCTTCCGCCCTGTGTCCCACCTCCTTTGTTGCATGGAGAGCAGGACAATGCAGGGTGTTAACCCAATGGTGACGGCATCAGAGTGTCATGTGAGTTTACAACTCACAAAAAATAAATGTGCAGCGAGGGATTTGACAACCGGGGATTCGTCTCCCCACCACCCCCTCGCCGCCTCACATCCCCGTGTATAGGACACATGCAGCAGGACCGAAAAAGGGAGGGTGTAACCAGGGATTTATGGGGATTTATTTGGATTAATCGCCAGCGGGGGAGCAGATTGTGTATTTCACGCAGAAGATCAAGTAAGAGCAGATGTGGTCTGGTTTATTTTGAGAAAGTGGGAAATAATTAATCGGCAAATCTGCCACTGTCAGTCATCCATTCCGGTTCCAAGCAGACTTTTTTCTACGGCAAGGGGTTCAACGTATAAAAGTTCAGCAGCTGCCCTTCATTGCTCATCTTCTGAAAATCAACCCTTTTAACAACCCAGACAAAAAAAAGTTCATGTTTGAAGTCAATTTTATTCATAAGTTGTCCGTTGGATTGATTAAACTCTGTAACAGCACAAACAAACAAAAAATAATCTGCAAAGCACGAAACACAATGCATCAAGCATGTCCTTGCACTGTAAAAAAACGTTTTGTGGGGGACTAAAACAGCCATTTCATTTGGAAGAATTCTAACATTCAAATTATTGACAGTTATGAAAACAATGTTAGTACATGTGTCACATAATTGCTAATATTCGATATAATAATAAAAAAAAGAAAAAGCGCGGGAGTAAACATGATTATGTAAAGCACTTTGAGTATTATGTAAGGAAATAGTGAACACAAACGCTATATTTGTAAGGCGGTACGGTGCATTACGTCATGACCAAACCAGACGGGTTATGTTTTCTATCTCTTCGACTTGCAGTGTTAAAATCACTTCCGGTGACGGAACCCGGAAGTAGGCGTATCTGTTTGTGTGTATGTGACGGCTGTTGTTGACAGTTCTGTACGTCACATTAGTCTCATACAATCGCCCCATGTGAAACCTTGAGAAAGACTATAGCTTGTCAACTCACAGTACACTTCCATTTTTTATCATTTAGCTATTTCGTTTTGGTCTGAGTGAGTGTGTGTTCACTGTATGTTTCGCGATTTAGCGACTCGAAGCTAGCCCATACTAGTCGGCCTAGTGAAGCGAATTCACCAAAAGATGTCTTTGTATTTAATTGCCTGACGTCGTTTGGGAGGAGACTAAAACAAGGTAATGTGTTATTGGATGGCTAAACATTTTGTAAATTCTTTTTTTTTTCTTTGATAAATCGAAAGCATCTACTGTATGTCTTTCAGTCTGGTGTTTCCTTCAGGGTCAATGGGAAATAATAACTTTCACCTTCACTCGCAGTTTTTTTTAATCTATCTTTCCATCCATCCATAAAGTCTAATGCAGATTGCTGCACTTTCATTTTACAAAGCCCAGCTTTTTTATGACTAACCTTGTTATTTCTTGACATATGGTCTTGAAGCAGATGGCTGTGGAGCTGGATGTGTTCGTGGGTAACACCACTATCATGGACGAGGAGGTTTATCAGCTCTGGTTAGATGGATATACAGGTAATGAATGCCACACCATTCATATTTCAGGAGATATTTATTTAAATATATGTTTTACCTTTACTAACAAGAGACTTACATTTATAAATTCACATGGAGACTAACTGGACATATTCCAGCCACCCAACTAATTATATCTATACTTTAACAAGTCAATTTTAAATGGGAATCTGTTGGTTAAACAAGTTTGAATGAAACATATTTATTGTCCGGAACAGTAAACGATGCAGTGAAAGTTCGAATGGAGGGCGGAGCACTGGACGAGTGCGAGGCAAACGCGGACGTGCTGTTGAGTGATACCATGGACCAGTATAGAACTTTCCAGATGTGCGAGCGTCTGCTGCACAGTCCATCCAAACTGGCCAATCAGCTGCTCTTCCAGATCCCGCCTCATCGCCAAGCCATGCTTATTGAGAGGTGATGTGCTTTTCCTGTCTGAACACGTTACTTTTGTGTTTTAGAATACCTGCGCATGTGACGTGGTCACGTGCTTGTTTTATATTTTTGGCCTGGGAGTGTTTTTCACACAAATACTTGCAGTCATTGTGACTTTACGACTGCACTAGCACTAGCATAGGTTAGTGATAGACTTGGCTGTGTTCCAAATTATGTACAAACGCCATAGGACTGTAACGGAACTAGAATTACGAAAGTTTGGGACGTTTAATTTCCACTGCGTGTATTTATTGAGCATCATTCATGAATTTTTTTGTTTCGAAGATGACACGCATTTTCCTATTTAATTAGAATCACTTCATTAATTCTTGTTCCCTTGATGTGGTTCAGTCTAACCTTACTCTCTCCTTTTTGTTTCCTGCCATTAGGTACTACTCTGGTTTTTGTTGAAAAACTCATCTCGTCCCTGTTGTGTTCTCACAGAAAATATATGCGTTTTTCAGGCACTGAAATGCATCCACCCTTTTATTTATTTATTTGTTTATTTTTTTACTAAACGTATTTCTGCAGTTTTTTTGCACTCAGGCCAAGGTTAAATTTTATTACAAAACATGTGAGTCATCTGTTCATTGTTTTTGTTCCATTATTCACTGAACAACTGACCTATTCGCTGTTTTTGTGAGTTTTTCAGATGAGTTTTTTTTTTGGGAGGAAATATCCTCCGTTATGTGCTGAAAAGGAAAAGGTAATAAGTGGATGATTTTTCAGCAAGACTCCCCCCCCCCCCCCACACACACACCCGCCCCCTCAAAAAAAATGCAAAACGGGTGTTGACTGAATTGTACCTGAGAAAATGTTGAAAGTGCTGAGAGGATGCAATTGGTTCACAAGCGGACCACCGTCATCCAGTGTGACTTCTGGATGCAAACATCACATCAGCAGGGCTTCTTCATTTGACAAGATTTTGTGCCCAATTGTGTACCTGTCGTTCAAAATCATCAGAAGCACCAAAGCAGCTGCAAAACAGGCCTCCGCGAGCAAGGGAACGGCCACTGTGCGTATTTCAAAACCCCGAAGGTGAGGAGGATGATTGTGTTTTCAAGGCAGCAGCTTGGAAAAATGGCTCGCTCCATCCACCGCCGCCTTTTTTAATCCATCAGGGAACGATGCACAACACAGATGTTGGATGTTGTGTTTGCAGCGCGGTGATCGCCACTCGCCATCCGGATTGGACTCCGAGCTCAATGGACTCTCTCTCCGGTTTCTCCACTTCGGTGAGAAAGCAGCGGCTTCTTCTTACAAACGCTTCATTTTCATGCGTGGGAGCTATAAAAAAGTAGAAGGCTTACAAAAGAGCCCGAATTTGCACCGCGAAACGCCATTTGTGGCCATTGTCGGGCTGGACATTTAACA